CCAAAAGAAAAAGAATCAAGCAAGATACGTAAACAAGAGAAATACTTCCATCTTCACCAAAACATCAAGAAAGAGACAAGAGTGATGTAAACTCACAGGTAAGAATCCAAGTATACTAAGCCTTATGACTCTTTTGGCTGCTCTCTGAAAGAATCTGCTTAGTCTTTTCCAAAACACCAAAGAAAATAGAACCTCCAATACCAATCCACAATACCCTTGGCCCCATTCCCTGTATACATTTAGTCTCAGACTTTTCAACAACTTTGAACTAACATGAGCAACTTTGTGCCGAATTTCGATCATATGCCTAAAAATCCAATGTGGTAAGAGCTAAAATCGATTCACCTTCCACAAAGCTGATGACCCTTCTTCTCTTAATATCGTCTTAATGCAATCTGAAACTCCTTTATACTGAGTTCCTGTGCCCTGTCAGATTTCAAAACGAAAAAAATGGGTACTATATTGCTGGAGCTTCTTATTCTCCTGTGAAATCCATCCAGGAAGAACATGTTCTTTCAGTAGTTTGAGTGTTTGTTGTTTTGACATACCTGAACCATTAATCTGGTTTTGATAACGTCAAGAGGAGTAGTCAAAACTCCAGTGACAGCACCAGCAAAGGCACCAAGCATTGCATTCTCTGGATCATTTAGATCTCTTCTCGCCTGTTCTAAACATGTGGGACATCTCACTGTCATTAGTCAGCAAAAAGGAATGTTTCTTCACTAGTCACTATAGGAACACATACTTACAGCCAACTTGTATCCAATCCGTAATTGCTCATATACACAAAACTGTAGAGCATCAAAAGGCAAATCTCGCAATAAGAAAGATCCAAAACCCTGCATGTTTGGAAAAATAAGATGAAAAGATCCAAAAAATGTGATTTATTGAACTACAAGCTCAAGTAGTGGCTGCACCAAAGCAAATAGTAAAACACTAGAACCATAAATCAAGAAGTAACAAATATACCGCATACAAGCCTCCAAAGCCTTCCTTGGCTATGATAAGGCGAACAGCATCAGGGGCCGAAGCAAATTGTCCAGTTTGCATCCGTTGTTTAACAACCTATTGGAAATTACCATTAGCCTGTATGTACAAGCATATAACCAATGCTGAATAATAAGTAAAGAAATAAGAAGAAAGAAACTTACTTCTGTTGGTACCCGAACAATAGATGAAACAGCGCCCCCTAAAGCACCTGCAGCCTGATTGAGCTTACATAACTCGCTAAGACATATATCCTTTTCTAACAAACTATACTAGAGCCTCAGAAGACATCCATCTTCTCTCTAACGAATTATAAGAAAATATTTACTGGAAAATCTCCGGCAGACGAACTAATCTTAATTTTTTTATTTAGGACTAATTTGAGTTTATACATACCAAATGTGCAACCGCACTAAACTTTTCAGGTAAAACCTTCAGCAGCTTCTGTTTGGTTGGTTCATATACACCGAAAAATAGAGCTGAAGCACTGCACACAAAGAATAACATTATTCATCTGAAAAAAGGGTAAACATTCTTCTTCTTTTTTTCCTTTTGAGTATATACTTACGGTATGACACCAGCAAGGTTTCCGCCAAGACCAGAGTATAGTCCGTTCCATATTATCTTTCCTCCATCCCGAGCTACCTAAACATTGTCGAAACCAATATAGTTAGTCGCTGTAAGTCGAAGATTGGCTTCTTCATGCAAGTAAAGAAACATTATGAGCAAACATGAGCTATATAGTGGGACTCTCGCTGAAATTGATTTGAGGAGAAACAACCTGTACTCGAGTTTTGATTGTATCGATTGGGTATAGAGCAGCTTCCACAACAACACCAGCTATCCCTCCTGCTATCAGACTCTCTGCAAACACAACATCATTTTTTTCACTCTAAAAGACATTAACTAGAATTCTTTTTTTGTGTATTTCTAATTTTCTATAAACAGGAGCATTACGATGTACTGTTTGCAACCATACCATAGAGAACACGCAAGAAATGGCATGGATCATCTTGTCTAACAGAGATTGTGGCACAACGATTGGTCTGGTTCTTGATAAGACCATTGGTATTCTTGAATGCCAATGCATCTACAAGTAAGATAAACATGACCAATCAATTAGAAATGAATACTTGCTAATGCTATAAATTGATTTGCTTTAGTGTATAGAAAACATCAAGGAACTCAAAAGACATATGGGTTCACTAGACTTCGCCAATTGTCTTGATAACCGTTATAGGAATAGGAACAAAAGCAGTTACTTTGTTCTTGCATTGGTCAATGAAATTTTTGTGATGATATCTCAAAACATAAACTTGGGGAGCAAAAATTAAACCATTCTAACACTAAAAACCCTAACTTTAGGGATACCGAATCGACCGGAGTATGGGTTGATATATTACCAGGCAAAGGTGTGTGAGATGGATCTCCGCTAATGGACATAAGGTCACGATCCATCTAAAACCCAGAAAATAAAATATCAAAATTGAGCTAAAGGAGATGAAATTTAAGAGCAGATAACCATTCTTGACATGAAGATCTAACCAAAGTGACAGAGCGAGGTAGAGAGAGCAACAACAAGACGGCGAGAGTGACCGAGGCCTTCCAAAATACTATTCAAACCGAACCGGACTTACCGGTTGGACCGGTCAAACCATAAAATATCATATATTTTTCTATCCATTTCTTGTCCATATTCTTGATTTTACTTCTCTCTGTTTCTCTCTACCATACATTTCCAGGATTATCTGCAAATTTCTTGGTAAGCCTCTTCTTCTCTTCTCAAGGTCGATTCGAAATTTACAATGCAGTGGAACCGAGACTTGTCGTTTTCTATCAAGATTCAGTAAAATGTTGAGAAATTCAACTTCATCACTCACTGCAACTAATAAGATTTCTCGCTCCACCAAACCAATCGGTCTAATCTTTTCATTCAACTAAGAAAAACAGAGTAACTTCCATTTTAGGGAATTCTGGGTGTTAATCATTTCTTCAAAATTACCATAAAAATGAACAACTTTTAATTGGTATTCTGGGACCTAGATTGACAATTATTGTTGTAATTAATCAAGATTACTTTTTTTATCCTTTGTATTTAGGGTTTTAACACAGAGACATGCCCCTAAAAATTCGGCTGAAAATATTATCACACACACAGAGAGACGAGCTATGTCTTTGATAACTTTGTAAGATTCGGTCACTGAATCAAAATTGTCTCTGTTCCTCCTCTCTCAATCCTTTAAAATAATTTATTTATAATTCAAAATGTTTCGTAAAGCAGAAAGCTTTTGTCGTAACATCTTACAGAAATCAAAACAATTGCAGAGATCAAAGAGAAGAGAAATGGGGATAGGAGTGTTGGGTCTGATCCCAATTTCATCTCCAGACAGTTTAAAGAAAGTACTTCAAACACTGTCTGGTAAATGGGGAGACGTTGTTGAAGATCTCGAGAGTTTACAAGTCAAACCCATGAAAGGTGCAATGACGAACGAAGTTTTCATGGTGAATTGGCCCACAAAAGGAAACAAATTTCAACACAGGAAGCTTCTCGTTCGTGTTTATGGCCAAGGAGTTGATCTGTTCTTCAATAGGAAAGATGAGATTCGTACGTTCGAGGTTGTTTCTCGATACGGTCACGGTCCTAAGCTCCTTGGCCGGTTTACTGGGGGTAGAATCGAAGAGTTTATCCATTCCCGGGTATGTTCTGTTTCTTGCTCGATAATTCACCAAACACATTGTAACTCCAACAGATTATAGTGTTTAGGTCTGAGTTTGATTACGAGCAGAGAGCATAACGACCTTTGATTGGGTTTGGGATCGATGTTGAACCGGGAAATACCAATAGAGGTATGCCCGGTTTAGCTGTGTTAAGCTTGAGATGTGTTCTTGATTGTACATTCATGGTTTGGGTTTGTTTATTAATTCTATGACTTTTGATCAGACTTTATCGGCTGCGGATCTACGTGACATCGAAGTATCTGCTCTTGTTGCGGCTAAGCTAAGAGAATTTCACGGTATGAATGTTCCTGGTGATGGAAATGTGGTCCTTTGGGATAGGATGAGGTGAGCCATCTTTCTCCGTAATATGAAGAATTATTAAGTGGTCAAATCAATAACAGAATCTTTGGAAACGTTTGACAGGAATTGGCTTGGACAAGCCAAGAGTTTATGTACACATGAAGATTCGGAAGAGTTTGGTCTAGACACCATTGAAGCTGAGATAAACTTGCTTGAACATGAGCTGCACAACGAGTGTTTTAAGCAGCAGGAGATTGGGTTTTGTCACAATGATTTGCAGTATGGTAACATCATGATTGATGAAGACACCAATGCAATTACTATCATAGTAAGCTTGTCATTGCCCATTTTGTTTTTTTCAGAAGGTCAAAATATCATCATACATACATGGACCAACATGAGATTCTCTAACAGGACTACGAGTACGCTAGTTATAACCCAGTTGCATACGACATAGCAAATCATTTCTGTGAAATGGCCGCAAATTACCATTCTGACATTCCCCATATATTGGACTACACTCTATACCCAGGTACACATCGTAAGATTAGCTAAGCTTTCTATTACCATATTAGATATGTTTCTGATTGGTTGGGGATTGCAGGGGAAGAGGAACGGAGGCGATTCATTTATAATTATCTCAGCTCTTCAGGTCAGTTACTCAAAGAATCATAGTTCTTCTTCTGGTCATAACAATAATGTCTCATGGACCAATACGCCTTCTTCTTTCGTTAGGCGAGGAACCCAAAGAAGAAGACATAAAACAGCTCTTGGATGATGCTGAAAAGTACACATTGGCAAGCCATCTCTTCTGGGGCTTATGGGGAATCATCTCTGTAAGATTCTTGCCTCTCTTTATCTTTTCCCAATCCATATATAATACAATAGAGCGATCCGAGAAACGTGACACTAATTATGCCAGGGATATGTGAACAAGATCGAGTTTGATTACGCCGAGTACTCAAGACAGAGATTCAGAGAGTACTGGCTTCGTAAACCCCATCTCTTGTCTTCCTACTCCTCTCACAAGTAATGCAAAGTTGTAACCAAATCTAATCGATTCAAAAACCAATGCTAATCAAGAAGTCAAGCATAGAATCCCATTTGTTCCTTGTAACCAATGAGACTAAAACTAGATTGAAAACTTTGAGAAAGATAGTAATTGAATGTTGCCAAATTCCAACAAATTATCCATACCATGGGAATCAAAACTACATTGATGATACTTCTAAATATGTACAAGAAACCAAATTCTGCCAACAAATTCTCAACCATTTTGACCTTAAATCAAGAAAACCAAGAAGAAGAAGAAAGCAAACAAGTCAACGTTGGTTCTGAGAAGACGGTTTTATAAGAGGCTGCGATGTTTTCCCCCATTCCTCAGGACTACACTTCACTTCCATTAACAACGCGACAACTTCCTTCATCGTTGGTCTCTCCACAGGCGAAGGATTCACACAGAACATAGCAATCCCTAATGTCTGAAGCATCTCCTGCACTATCTGATCAGGTAATCCTTGAAGCTTCACGTCAAGCACAGATAACGCCGGTTCGAAACTTCCCATCTTCTTCTTCACCCATTCAACTATGTGAAGCCCATCTCCAATCTGTGGCTCCACTGCACTCCTACCACTGAGAATCTCAAGCAAAACGACACCGTAACTGTACACATCACTCTTCTCTGTTATGTTCATCGTATAACCATACTCTGCAAATAAAAATCAAACCTTT